CATTACAGTGGCACAATTTTTTTTAAAATGAAAATGACGAAAATGACCAAATCAAAGTGGCTGTGAGCCACTGAACTTGGAAAATATATTATGAAAGGGTGTTATGAGGCATTGTTCATTAAGGAACTACTTGTGATGTGAGGGCAGTCTAGCTTTCGAACAAGTCCATAAAGCCTTTTTCCATTCAGGGGTGTGTTGTAATATTTGCAAAACGAAAAAGTTCAACGTTAAGAAACTGTTTGTTACTCAGGCCTGCCTACACGTTTTACATTGCATGTATTTGTACATGTCTTACTTGTGCTGTAGTCAAAAACGGCAAGATCATTTTGTTTGGTCAAAAGTGAAGTATGGACTGAACGAAACACTTCAGCCTGCGGTACGTAAATAAATAATTACTTTCGCCCTTCGTTAACTGATGTAGTGGCACAGTGTGATAGGCGCTGGCTCGCCATACGAGACTTTGGGAGTTCTAATCCTAGTGGTGACTAATGATAATTTTCCTTTCTTCTTCATTGTTTTTTCTTTTTCTGTCAAGAAACCACTTACCGAAAGGTAGCGTTTGTCTTTCCGTCTCCTGTGTTAAAAAAAAATCGTCTGAAGCCTTTAATCATTCGTTTATATCGATTTCTTTCGAACTCACAATATCACGTAGGTTTGTGAAGGAAAAACCACGAAGACTTTCCCTGAATCGAGTCGCTAAGGAAGAACCATAAGTATTTTCCTTCAAGGAAAAAATCGTCATACCTTCTACCTCTCGAAAATAACTAACTTGACATGCTGCAATCCACTGTAGAACGGCCTTAGACGGCTAATGTTCGAAACCCGGAGGGACTCCTATATGAAAAGCTCGGGGATGCTTGTCGTTTCAGGTACAAATCAAGGATTCTGGTCTCACTTAGGATGTTGATGACGAAACGTCACCATTTTTAGCTGTTAAAGTATCCGTTAGGGTGCATTCGAGGAAATAATAATAAAAGAAACGCTCTCATTCAATTTCTGTTGTCAGGCTTGATTTCCGGTGATCTCTCGAGCACGCGAGTCAGGTCTACAAGTGCGCACGGGATCCTTTCTTGAACAGTCGGGGCAGTGAGCAAACCTCTTCCGTTTTAAGTGGCCTTATGGGGTCTAATGAAGTTCAAGCAACGTCCACATTACTCTCCCTTAGGAGTTAAATTCAAATCCTTCCGACGAGCATCCCCTGCCTTTTCATATGTGAGTCCCCCACGGGTTTCCAAATGTGTAACGGGAAGTGTCCCTATGAAGGAGAGAAGGAGTGATGGAGTGAAATCGTTCCATCACTACAACTTGGAAAATAATAAATATTTTCCAAGTTAAGGGAAAACGCACATTTCCATCTACAGAATCATGCCCAGTGAATTCATTAAAATAAGAGATTATTGAGTGACTTTACTTTGAGAGACAAATGATGCTGAAACATTACAAGTACCTCCAATCTTGATAGCACTAGCCAGTGACTAGATTTTCCGGATTTCTCCACTTTGAATAAAATATAAAAGGCAGTCGACCGTAAGAGTGCCTAACTGTCATCACCTGAAGAATATGGGCGCTTGAAGAACATTCGTTTCGTTCGGCTGTTTGAGATTTTGCGACGTAAAGCAAAAGTAAGATATGTCATACGTACCTTGTCAGTTCTTTCTGGATAGGCAGTGTTACATGTTTGTCTTTAAATATAAACAAGTCCAAGGATATTGAAATAATCCCGCCATGTTGTTTCGTGTTTTTCAGTGTGTACTACACAACGACTAAAGAAACCGCATAATGTCTTTATTGCGGGCGTTCGTTATCTCCTGTGAAAACCCGGGTGGGGTGAGGGGGTTAAAATAAAAACAAGACATAACTAGTAGTAATCAAAGATTAGAGCAGTACGTTTACGTCCGTACTTTGCATGTTTGGTCTACTTTGGTGGCGTTTGAATGGCTCAATAGGAAACTGAGCTTGATCGAATGACAGATAACGATCTACACGTGAAGTTGAACTGGCGATGAAAAAATTAAAGCCTGCGGTAAAGGTGTTTTTAATTAATTAATTAAGTATTAACCTGTACTGGACGAAATATTTTCCAGGAAAGGCATTTAAACTGTTGGCGATACTTAGAATTCAATTTACAAAAAGCCCATTTCTTGAGAAAATAAAGTTTTGACCAGCGACCCTGCAAGACAGCACGTCCCCAAATGTTTTTAAATTTTGTGTTTGTATCTCTTAAACATTGCTCGAATTTACATCTTGTCTTCGCAAATGAAAAAGGTGAATTAACCATTCTGACCACAAAACAGGGCCTTTTGGCGAGTTACACAACACGCAAAGTTTGCTTTTTGACAACCAGTTATGGCCACCACGAATTTGCGCTACAAATCGGAAAATTTATTTTCTGACCACAGATGCGAGGGTCATCATGGACATTTGCCGAGCTACACGGAAAATTTGTTTTCTTACCACAAGCTCGTGGCCATTTGTCGTCGCCGAGCTGGTTACTTGTTGTCGAAGGCTAGCGGGTCAAGACACATTCAACTTTGCAGAAATCATGCACACTTCGAATTTATAAAATAACTGAGCTACTGCGCGCGCTCTCATTGGTCAATAGGTGTGTTCAGATGAGGGTATGTAAACACGGTTGTGACGTTTTAGATTCGCGCGTATTTTTGAGAACTGTTTTATAAAAGCAATAGAGCTCTTTTTCCATGTTTACATAGCCTCATCTAAACACTCGGGGGCTGGGAGAATTCTCGAAAGTTATGCAAACCCGAGACTACGTCTCGGGTTTGCACAACTATCTCGAATTCTCCCAATCCCCCTCGTGGTGCAAATCGGCGAACAAATCCGTGAGAAAAATTCTCGGTACAAACTGGATTAGGATTGCGTTACACTACGTGAATGCAATAATAATAATGATAGGTGAAATTCGGTATCGTTAAAATAAATGATTATTAGACTACAGTCTGATTTTCGCGGTATCGAATAAAAGAAGTAGAAAATATTATTGTTGCAAGCGCGCGCGGTGTTCGGACGAAAGCTGTGAATCTTGGGGCGAGTAGACGGGGCGTTTGAGGATCATGGGCCGTGATTTTGCCGGTAAGACTGTTGTTATGCTCATTTGAGGCTTAGCGTTCAACAATAACTGACTTTTGTTTACTTACCATGACCAGACCCTATAAAGCTTAAACGTTAGCTACGATTTCGTGGCGTTTTCTTGTTAATCTGACTGTTTTTTTTCTTTTTTTTCTTGCACTACTCGCCCTACCTGACCTGACCAGGATAATCTTCAATCTACGTCCCGTCGTGACCGTCGTCTTGTTAACTAATAACATTTGTCATGACTTTGATTTCGTTACTAATGCTCATTGAGGGTCTCTCCTTTTTCTAATTGTTACAAAACCTTCCATTTTTTTTTCTTTACAAAAATTGTCAAACATTTCTGGAAGTTGCACTATAAAAACCCTGACAACACGAAGCCTCGATTAGATGATGACGGAATACTACGTGCTGAAAGTGAGACTGACGAGCATGAAACGTTGATAAAATAAAGCAAACAACACTGCCTAACATTCCAATACATTTATTTTTGTCTCGTTAGTTTATTTTCATTAGACATATGAAGTTACTGTCAATTTTATAAATAAATACCTAAATTATGTTCATCTTTAATAGATACCGTCTTTTTTTAAGTATTCCCTGAATATTTTTTTTAAATACAGCCTATTTACATTTATAATAGATAAAATGTAGTCGACGAGTTAAATTACTTGCAAGTTAATAAATTAAACGAACGACTGAGTATGCGATAGAAAACGAGATGTTGAGTATGTCATATAATAAATAGCAACGATAAATAATATGCTGTTTAAGGATAGTGGAGTCTGAAGATTGTTAAGAAATAAGATTTTACAACCTGAATATGAGAGTATGAAATCGTATAAAATGAACATTGGAAGAAGACTTCGTCAGACGTTTTCTTTCCAACAGAAGACCACTACAATGGCCCTCAATTCAGTCCATTTAACTGGGCTGAGTTTGTGACTGCAAAGGGATCGAAGTCGTGAAACATACTACAGTTAAATATAACTTGTGATTAGGTGTTCCTTCTTTCCCAGCGAAAAGAACTGATCACAGGAAAACTTAAATACGCCCCCTGTTTCACCACAGCTAAAGCAAACTTAAGACTTGCAAGTTGTGTAAAGACATCAATTCCTCATTTAAATAAAACACTTGATATTTACGGCCAACATGTCGCTTGCACGCGCTTGGCAATAAAGATCGCTTAATCGGTTGGCAGTTTTGTGACAGTGAAACTTACATTACAAAAGAAACCCGGATGTTAAATAACCTTGGGATAAAACGAACAAACACTGTTCACCAGGCCATTTACTTAGTACACATCAAGCATTGCAACCTAATACCACGAACCATATGTCTGGCGACGAGAGCGCTCGTTACACAGCAAAATAAAAGTTTTTAGTTTGGGCTTTGCGTTATGTATGACAAAAGTGAGTACGGAGAAAGCGTAACAAGAATAACATGGCGTACGAAAGTGTTGACAGTAAGTTTATCTTCATCGTTTCTTTTTCAGTTTTTGAGTGTTTCGTCATGTCATGCAAATGGCCTGGTTTCCAATTTCCTCCTGTGCAGACGTTTCTGTTTGACCACCGCTGACCGCTCTTACTGACTGTGTTCGAGATGTCGCTGACCAGCAGTTTCTGCTGATCAGTTTACACAGTACTCCACTTGAACCTGCTCCGCAATCACAAAAAAATCTGGAAATAATTAAACGAGACGTTGGTCAGACATTTTTGCCATGTACACGAAAGAAAAAAGTGTCATTCAAACTACACCATACAGTGTCTATAAAGGCGTGACACTAATTTTGTCACAGGTCCTTAGGCCGGATACCCAGAGAGTCCTGGATACATATCCGTCAGTTTGCTGAAAGACCCTGACCTTTCGTTAATGGCCCAGGCACGTTATAAGCACTCCATTTTAAGCCCTCTTTCCAATTTCCCTAAAACTGACTTCATGAAACAGTCAGAAACAATATACAGGTATGTCTCCCATAAAATAAAGCATGTGTACTCTTGATATCAAGGATAAGAGTTTAACACAAAGTGGCATCTGAGTGCATAGTGCATATCCAAACTATCAAGGTCATTGTTAATTTTTAATCTCTCTTGGTAATGTCCAGTCTAAACCATCCCTGTTCTGTTCTGTTTTTTTTACTTGCTATATTTATGATGTCACCTTACCTGTCACGCCTTACAAACTTCACTTCGTGCCCTTCGTGACAACCTGTCACACAACTCACACAGATGGCGTAACCCTCGGATGTACCACAAGTGGTGCACCTGTGTATACAGAGAATAGATAGCGAAACTGGCTTGGAAAAGGTGTCATTTCTTAACAACCTTCACACATAAACAGCTAACTTTTCTAATAACCACATCAATACATGGCCGAGCAAACAGGAAGATTGCATGACTTATTCAGGACAGACAGACAGACAGACAGACAGACAGACAGACGGACAGACAAACTGACTGACAGACGGACTGAATGACTGACGGACGGACAGCCGGGCAGGCAGACTGACTGACACAAATCTATGGTACAAGTACCCCTCGGTACAATAAAGGAACATGCAGGCTACGCACCTGTAGAAATCGTGCATGGGATAACATGTGTTACCAGACACCTGGAACAGACAGCGGCAAGACTCGATTGCTTTCTCCACTTCACGTCTGTTTCCGTGCACTTTGTTATCTGACAGAGAATAGGGAAATAATACATTAATTTGAAAAACAACGACGAACTGAACGGGCAGAGAACAGGAGGCTAGTCAAATGCCACTTACTGCTAAGCTGAGGTTCAACACCAGTAGCCAGACAAATGCCGTCAAACCGGTTGTTGAAGACTTCGTTTTCCTCCAAAACTCCGCCTAAACAAAAGAATTGCAAAAGAAACAATCTTAAATATTGCCTCGTGAACTGACATAGCTCTATAATATATATGTGAATAGATCGGAAGTCATGATCAATATCGCACGAAATTTTCGTTTGTTTCAGTAGTAAAAGGCAATTTACCAAAAATGTTCAGAAAAGTCATTTCAAGTTTGATTGTGTGATAGGGTCAGATTCTTTGGGAGAGGGCTAATGCGATATAAATTAAATTAGTAAAGGAGGGGTGACTCACCAGCACTATTTGTTATCTCTATTCCCGCGGCACCGCCATCGAATATGCGATTGCTTTTCAACACTGGAAAACTGGCTGTGCTAATGAGCACGCCTGTTAATGAGAAAAGAGAAAAGAAGTTAGTAAACAATATTTCTGAGGGAGTTAGGTATTTCAAAAGAATGATCTCTCGAAGATGACTTGTCTTGGCATCGGAGCCTAGCTTAGAGTTGTGGCTGGTCAGGAATCACTCATGTCTATCACAAACTACAAGAACAAATCAACAAAACAGTACGATTTATTATATGAAGGAGAGATGTTTACCTGTCAATGCATTCCGAAAAATGTCATTGTTCTCCAGAACACCTAAAAAATATAAAGTGAGATAGTTGCAATGTATGCGCTTGGAAACGTAAGAGTCCCTGCAAGTAATATGATCAACTGTCAATGCGGGTGTGTATGTACCCAACACACTGTAATCCTATACTGAAAAAGTTCTTTCGATCTAATTTCTCACACCTTCTGGTATGCGTTTTCTAGTACCCACCCTTTCCATAGTTGAACACGCACACTCCGCCTTCTCGCCCGTCGTGAATTTTGTTCCTCCGGAGAACTGGGTTACTCTCGGTCTTGATCCAGACCCCTGCCATCGCGTTGTCGAAAATCTCGTTTTCTTCTAGCAGACCAAGACCTAAGTAAGGAAAAAAAACACGCGGCTTAACAGGGGCACCGAGCTTTATAGATTGAACACCCGGTTGCTTTGAACAACAAGAGGAAATAAGAGAAAAGCATTCAACACAACGTCGATGAAGGAACAAAACAAAGTGAAGCAAAGCAATGAAATAACCTCCATTGTAGACCAAAACGCCGCCATTTTGTCCTCCCCAGATTTTGTTTCTCCTGATGCACGGATTACTTCCAGACCTGGAACAAACGACGGCGTACAATTGTATGATGATAAACGACTAGTTTCTTATTAAAATACAAATGTGAAGTAAACTAAGCAGGTCATAAGAATAACACAACTGATCACCAAGGGATTTATTGACTACTTTGTATAGACAATTTTTGATGTAAGTGACCTTATTTGTATCCCAGAGTACTTGTGATTGAAGATTTCGTTTTCTTCGAGGATTCCACAGCCTCCATCATAGAAATAAACGCCAACCTGATATAGATAGAAAACAAAACACTTGAAATCACAAGTTCTCAAACTGTTTCAAATTCGCTTGAGATCTCCTGTCGTTCGAGACTCAAAGGAGTTTTACGGTTACAGAGGGAAATAAAATCCACCGATAGGAGATCTCGGGCTATCTACCAGCTTTGTTCAGTGAATTTTTCCATCCATCCGCTCTCCTCAACTTCAACCTCATCTTCTGCAGAGAAGGGAGTCCCGGAAATTGTAGCTGAACTTTCCACTTTTAGTTTACTGGAAAATTTCGTAATAGAAATGAACGCTAAATATGGACGACATTTCGACGGTTCGCTGGTTATTTTCTTGAGTTCAGGTGAATTTGCTACAAAGCAATTTTTCAGGTTGGTATGTAAATATTTCGCAAGAAATACTGAGTACTTCTCAGCTTAAGCTAATTTGGCTTGCTTAGGTGTTAGACAGGGCTACGTTCAATTAAGAAGGAAGGCGTTTGTATCATAGAGGCAGTATTTCGAGACGTAAATCCCTTAAAAAATAGCCATTGTTAATTGAAATGTTGAGGACGAAGAGGAAAAAGTAACGGTCATGATAGTTTCGTATCAAAAGAGANTTTCCATGTTTACATAGCCTCATCTAAACACTCGGGGGCTGGGAGAATTCTCGAAAGTTATGCAAACCCGAGACTACGTCTCGGGTTTGCACAACTATCTCGAATTCTCCCAATCCCCCTCGTGGTGCAAATCGGCGAACAAATCCGTGAGAAAAATTCTCGGTACAAACTGGATTAGGATTGCGTTACACTACGTGAATGCAATAATAATAATGATAGGTGAAATTCGGTATCGTTAAAATAAATGATTATTAGACTACAGTCTGATTTTCGCGGTATCGAATAAAAGAAGTAGAAAATATTATTGTTGCAAGCGCGCGCGGTGTTCGGACGAAAGCTGTGAATCTTGGGGCGAGTAGACGGGGCGTTTGAGGATCATGGGCCGTGATTTTGCCGGTAAGACTGTTGTTATGCTCATTTGAGGCTTAGCGTCAAGAGACCGTCGTCTTGTTAACTAATAACATTTGTCATGACTTTGATTTCGTTACTAATGCTCATTGAGGATCTCTCCTTTTTCTAATTGTTACAAAACCTTCCATTTTTTTTCTTTACAAAAATTGTCAAACATTTCTGTAAGTTGCACTATAAAAACCATGACAACACGAAGCCTCGATTAGATGATGACGGAATACTACGTGCTGAAAGTGAGACTGACGAGCATGAAACGTTGATAAAATAAAGCAAACAACACTGNTTTCCATGTTTACATAGCCTCATCTAAACACTCGGGGGCTGGGAGAATTCTCGAAAGTTATGCAAACCCGAGACTACGTCTCGGGTTTGCACAACTATCTCGAATTCTCCCAATCCCCCTCGTGGTGCAAATCGGCGAACAAATCCGTGAGAAAAATTCTCGGTACAAACTGGATTAGGATTGCGTTACACTACGTGAATGCAATAATAATAATGATAGGTGAAATTCGGTATCGTTAAAATAAATGATTATTAGACTACAGTCTGATTTTCGCGGTATCGAATAAAAGAAGTAGAAAATATTATTGTTGCAAGCGCGCGCGGTGTTCGGACGAAAGCTGTGAATCTTGGGGCGAGTAGACGGGGCGTTTGAGGATCATGGGCCGTGATTTTGCCGGTAAGACTGTTGTTATGCTCATTTGAGGCTTAGCGTTCAACAATAACTGACTTTTGTTTACTTACCATGACCAGACCCTATAAAGCTTAAACGTTAGCTACGATTTCGTGGCGTTTTCTTGTTAATCTGACTGTTTTTTTTCTTTTTTTTCTTGCACTACTCGCCCTACCTGACCTGACCAGGATAATCTTCAATCTACGTCCCGTCGTGACCGTCGTCTTGTTAACTAATAACATTTGTCATGACTTTGATTTCGTTACTAATGCTCATTGAGGGTCTCTCCTTTTTCTAATTGTTACAAAACCTTCCATTTTTTTTTCTTTACAAAAATTGTCAAACATTTCTGGAAGTTGCACTATAAAAACCCTGACAACACGAAGCCTCGATTAGATGATGACGGAATACTACGTGCTGAAAGTGAGACTGACGAGCATGAAACGTTGATAAAATAAAGCAAACAACACTGCCTAACATTCCAATACATTTATTTTTGTCTCGTTAGTTTATTTTCATTAGACATATGAAGTTACTGTCAATTTTATAAATAAATACCTAAATTATGTTCATCTTTAATAGATACCGTCTTTTTTTAAGTATTCCCTGAATATTTTTTTTAAATACAGCCTATTTACATTTATAATAGATAAAATGTAGTCGACGAGTTAAATTACTTGCAAGTTAATAAATTAAACGAACGACTGAGTATGCGATAGAAAACGAGATGTTGAGTATGTCATATAATAAATAGCAACGATAAATAATATGCTGTTTAAGGATAGTGGAGTCTGAAGATTGTTAAGAAATAAGATTTTACAACCTGAATATGAGAGTATGAAATCGTATAAAATGAACATTGGAAGAAGACTTCGTCAGACGTTTTCTTTCCAACAGAAGACCACTACAATGGCCCTCAATTCAGTCCATTTAACTGGGCTGAGTTTGTGACTGCAAAGGGATCGAAGTCGTGAAACATACTACAGTTAAATATAACTTGTGATTAGGTGTTCCTTCTTTCCCAGCGAAAAGAACTGATCACAGGAAAACTTAAATACGCCCCCTGTTTCACCACAGCTAAAGCAAACTTAAGACTTGCAAGTTGTGTAAAGACATCAATTCCTCATTTAAATAAAACACTTGATATTTACGGCCAACATGTCGCTTGCACGCGCTTGGCAATAAAGATCGCTTAATCGGTTGGCAGTTTTGTGACAGTGAAACTTACATTACAAAAGAAACCCGGATGTTAAATAACCTTGGGATAAAACGAACAAACACTGTTCACCAGGCCATTTACTTAGTACACATCAAGCATTGCAACCTAATACCACGAACCATATGTCTGGCGACGAGAGCGCTCGTTACACAGCAAAATAAAAGTTTTTAGTTTGGGCTTTGCGTTATGTATGACAAAAGTGAGTACGGAGAAAGCGTAACAAGAATAACATGGCGTACGAAAGTGTTGACAGTAAGTTTATCTTCATCGTTTCTTTTTCAGTTTTTGAGTGTTTCGTCATGTCATGCAAATGGCCTGGTTTCCAATTTCCTCCTGTGCAGACGTTTCTGTTTGACCACCGCTGACCGCTCTTACTGACTGTGTTCGAGATGTCGCTGACCAGCAGTTTCTGCTGATCAGTTTACACAGTACTCCACTTGAACCTGCTCCGCAATCACAAAAAAATCTGGAAATAATTAAACGAGACGTTGGTCAGACATTTTTGCCATGTACACGAAAGAAAAAAGTGTCATTCAAACTACACCATACAGTGTCTATAAAGGCGTGACACTAATTTTGTCACAGGTCCTTAGGCCGGATACCCAGAGAGTCCTGGATACATATCCGTCAGTTTGCTGAAAGACCCTGACCTTTCGTTAATGGCCCAGGCACGTTATAAGCACTCCATTTTAAGCCCTCTTTCCAATTTCCCTAAAACTGACTTCATGAAACAGTCAGAAACAATATACAGGTATGTCTCCCATAAAATAAAGCATGTGTACTCTTGATATCAAGGATAAGAGTTTAACACAAAGTGGCATCTGAGTGCATAGTGCATATCCAAACTATCAAGGTCATTGTTAATTTTTAATCTCTCTTGGTAATGTCCAGTCTAAACCATCCCTGTTCTGTTCTGTTTTTTTTACTTGCTATATTTATGATGTCACCTTACCTGTCACGCCTTACAAACTTCACTTCGTGCCCTTCGTGACAACCTGTCACACAACTCACACAGATGGCGTAACCCTCGGATGTACCACAAGTGGTGCACCTGTGTATACAGAGAATAGATAGCGAAACTGGCTTGGAAAAGGTGTCATTTCTTAACAACCTTCACACATAAACAGCTAACTTTTCTAATAACCACATCAATACATGGCCGAGCAAACAGGAAGATTGCATGACTTATTCAGGACAGACAGACAGACAGACAGACAGACAGACAGACGGACAGACAAACTGACTGACAGACGGACTGAATGACTGACGGACGGACAGCCGGGCAGGCAGACTGACTGACACAAATCTATGGTACAAGTACCCCTCGGTACAATAAAGGAACATGCAGGCTACGCACCTGTAGAAATCGTGCATGGGATAACATGTGTTACCAGACACCTGGAACAGACAGCGGCAAGACTCGATTGCTTTCTCCACTTCACGTCTGTTTCCGTGCACTTTGTTATCTGACAGAGAATAGGGAAATAATACATTAATTTGAAAAACAACGACGAACTGAACGGGCAGAGAACAGGAGGCTAGTCAAATGCCACTTACTGCTAAGCTGAGGTTCAACACCAGTAGCCAGACAAATGCCGTCAAACCGGTTGTTGAAGACTTCGTTTTCCTCCAAAACTCCGCCTAAACAAAAGAATTGCAAAAGAAACAATCTTAAATATTGCCTCGTGAACTGACATAGCTCTATAATATATATGTGAATAGATCGGAAGTCATGATCAATATCGCACGAAATTTTCGTTTGTTTCAGTAGTAAAAGGCAATTTACCAAAAATGTTCAGAAAAGTCATTTCAAGTTTGATTGTGTGATAGGGTCAGATTCTTTGGGAGAGGGCTAATGCGATATAAATTAAATTAGTAAAGGAGGGGTGACTCACCAGCACTATTTGTTATCTCTATTCCCGCGGCACCGCCATCGAATATGCGATTGCTTTTCAACACTGGAAAACTGGCTGTGCTAATGAGCACGCCTGTTAATGAGAAAAGAGAAAAGAAGTTAGTAAACAATATTTCTGAGGGAGTTAGGTATTTCAAAAGAATGATCTCTCGAAGATGACTTGTCTTGGCATCGGAGCCTAGCTTAGAGTTGTGGCTGGTCAGGAATCACTCATGTCTATCACAAACTACAAGAACAAATCAACAAAACAGTACGATTTATTATATGAAGGAGAGATGTTTACCTGTCAATGCATTCCGAAAAATGTCATTGTTCTCCAGAACACCTAAAAAATATAAAGTGAGATAGTTGCAATGTATGCGCTTGGAAACGTAAGAGTCCCTGCAAGTAATATGATCAACTGTCAATGCGGGTGTGTATGTACCCAACACACTGTAATCCTATACTGAAAAAGTTCTTTCGATCTAATTTCTCACACCTTCTGGTATGCGTTTTCTAGTACCCACCCTTTCCATAGTTGAACACGCACACTCCGCCTTCTCGCCCGTCGTGAATTTTGTTCCTCCGGAGAACTGGGTTACTCTCGGTCTTGATCCAGACCCCTGCCATCGCGTTGTCGAAAATCTCGTTTTCTTCTAGCAGACCAAGACCTAAGTAAGGAAAAAAAACACGCGGCTTAACAGGGGCACCGAGCTTTATAGATTGAACACCCGGTTGCTTTGAACAACAAGAGGAAATAAGAGAAAAGCATTCAACACAACGTCGATGAAGGAACAAAACAAAGTGAAGCAAAGCAATGAAATAACCTCCATTGTAGACCAAAACGCCGCCATTTTGTCCTCCCCAGATTTTGTTTCTCCTGATGCACGGATTACTTCCAGACCTGGAACAAACGACGGCGTACAATTGTATGATGATAAACGACTAGTTTCTTATTAAAATACAAATGTGAAGTAAACTAAGCAGGTCATAAGAATAACACAACTGATCACCAAGGGATTTATTGACTACTTTGTATAGACAATTTTTGATGTAAGTGACCTTATTTGTATCCCAGAGTACTTGTGATTGAAGATTTCGTTTTCTTCGAGGATTCCACAGCCTCCATCATAGAAATAAACGCCAACCTGATATAGATAGAAAACAAAACACTTGAAATCACAAGTTCTCAAACTGTTTCAAATTCGCTTGAGATCTCCTGTCGTTCGAGACTCAAAGGAGTTTTACGGTTACAGAGGGAAATAAAATCCACCGATAGGAGATCTCGGGCTATCTACCAGCTTTGTTCAGTGAATTTTTCCATCCATCCGCTCTCCTCAACTTCAACCTCATCTTCTGCAGAGAAGGGAGTCCCGGAAATTGTAGCTGAACTTTCCACTTTTAGTTTACTGGAAAATTTCGTAATAGAAATGAACGCTAAATATGGACGACATTTCGACGGTTCGCTGGTTATTTTCTTGAGTTCAGGTGAATTTGCTACAAAGCAATTTTTCAGGTTGGTATGTAAATATTTCGCAAGAAATACTGAGTACTTCTCAGCTTAAGCTAATTTGGCTTGCTTAGGTGTTAGACAGGGCTACGTTCAATTAAGAAGGAAGGCGTTTGTATCATAGAGGCAGTATTTCGAGACGTAAATCCCTTAAAAAATAGCCATTGTTAATTGAAATGTTGAGGACGAAGAGGAAAAAGTAACGGTCATGATAGTTTCGTATCAAAAGAGAATGTTAACTATTAATAAAAAAGTCGTTTACGTTACTGAGTTGGCTGTCACCAAATTTATCACTTTAACTATACATACATTACCAACTTGAGTTTGAAAAGTATATATGTACAATAGTTTAATCATTTTAGAATATAAAACCGACAGAGAACCACAGAAAACCGCCTTCATTTTTAACTCTCAACGAGAAAAATTCAACTCCTGTTGATTAACAAATGTTTTGACCGTCTAGAGAACATTAATAAACTCGATATTTTAACGTTTAGTTTAACGATCATTTTCGCTCACGAACTAAAACCGTTATTTAAGTTATACACTTATCTCAAATTTTAAGTTTTGCCTACGTCAGCTTCGTTTAAGAACTCAAAAATTCATTAGTTTAGTATAATATAAACAGGTTTAGATTAAGTATGAGTAAGGTGCAGTGTTTTAGTGTTTACAACATTTACCAACGACTTTAATAGTTATGATTAAACATGTCAAACCGGTTTAACTCGTTTTATGTTTGTGCTTTAACCTCAAGTGCAGTTGTTCGTCCCCAGTCCTAATCAGTGCGTCTCTTTTCTGAAAGAAAAAACGGTTTTGCGTTATCCCTAAACTAGACATCGAACGATAGTCTTGCCATCTAGTAACGGATCAACCCCTGCATTTATTCCTGCTGTGAATGAAAAATGATCTTTAAATAGTATTGCTTTTCATCGGGTCGTCACAGGGTCAGACCTGTTCCTACCATCAAGAAATCGTTTTCAGGTTTAGAAAAAAGATGAAGTGAACGAAGGAAGCTTGAGCAATAGTGAATATATTACCAGTTTAAGAGTATACTAAAAGTTTACGTAGAAGAACCCTACAATTCACATTAATTCCATCAGATTACAAAACGATGCAGTGACATGTTGTCTGTCGTCATTTTAGGTGCTTGCTCAGTGTTAGGGGTTTAATGTGCTAACTTGTTAATTTATAACAGTTAAAACCGGTTTCAGTTTAAGTGTTTCTTAGCCGGGAAAACTACTCATGTAAAGACTGATATTAATGGCTTTCCACTTGCTAAATTTAACATAAAATAATAAGTATGCCGTGACTTTAGTTATAGCGAGACTCTACCGAAGAAAAAATTATCAAGTTAGTTTTGAAGACAAATATCATCAATATTCTTTAAATCTAGAATCAAATCTAGCATAATTTATTTTGCATACACTTAACGTAAATCTAATTCTATTCAGAGTAGTCAGATTATAAGTTACAGGTACAAACACAACTGTAGTAATACCAAGAGGCAGGTCGTGTAGTTCAGGCGATTCAAGAAATGATCACTAAAATGCACATCTGATATCTCCTAGTAGTGTCAATTCATTGTTGTTTTGTTTACTTTTACCCGCAGAAAAATCAACTCAGCTCACTTTCTCTGAAAAGGCAATCGGTAGACACGAGAGTTGGGAAAACAAACACGATGCTTATCTGTCTACTTTCCTGATGTAACACCAAGCTCTCATAACTTACACTAAAAGAAATGTGCGGTAATAAACAAAGAGAATTCAAATGGCGAGCTAAGCACTGAAATTGTCTCCGAGATCCAATCAGTTGTAGACTGCAGCTAGCCTGTGCACGAAGCGTCAACCGAAAAGATGAGGGAAGAAACTCAAGGCCAGGTTACTCGCAGTCTAATTAAACCTAATGCCGTTTTACTTTCTTGGGGAATGGACGCCATAAAAAAAGTGAAGGAGCTATCGTTGATGAGTTGTACCTGTTTTCCGCTGTGTATTCTGTTGTTTCTTAATGTAGGAGTACTTCCTGTTCACAGAAGAATGCAGAAAAGATTTAGTTAACAACAGCAACCGGTTGAAAAGCCTGTCCCTTAACAACATTTGTGCAGAGGTGCGAAGTCAACACAATACGACATGGCACGATGGAAGATTTTCATAGCGACGTTTCTCCTGGGAAACGAAAGTTTGAGGAGCCATAAAAATAACTAATACATTACTTAAAAAAGATTGTGATGATGGCAGAAATAAAAGCAAACACTCTGGGCAAGTATTGTAATTTGTACTTTGCCACATTGTTAAAACTTCTAGTGTAACAGTTTTCAATTAAGTTCCAATTCTCAAATTGTAACATTTGGGAAGCATGCCCCATTGATTCTGCCACTCCAAGGTACCAGTCACCACCCCCCCCCC